CCTTCCAAGGGGAGTAGTGGGGGCAAAAGACATATCTGGCTTCAAGACTAAGCTTGATAAGTTTATGGAGGGGATGGTATGATGGGATAGCCTAATTTTGGCAATTAATTGATCTTTGATTATTAGCAGGTAAATATGCCCAATGGTCTGTGATGTTAGAAGGGGTGGGATCTGAGTTACTACAGAGAATTCTTTTCTGGGTGCTGGCTGGTGAGTCTTGCCCACATGCTCAGGGTTTAACTGATCGCCATATTTGGGGTCGGGAAGGAATTTTCCTCCAGGGCAGATTGGCAGAGGTCCTGGAGGTTTTTCGCCTTCCTCTGCAGCGTAGGGCACGGGTCACTTGCTGGAGGATTCTCTGCACCTTGAGGTCTTTAAACCAGTATTTGATGACTTCAATAACTCAGGCATAGGTTAGGGATTTGTTACAGGAGTGGGTGGGTGAGATTCTGTGGCCTGCGTTGTGCAGGAGGTCAGACTAGATGATCATAATGGTCCCTTCTGACCTTAAAGTCTATGAGTACCATGAACAAGTGGAAGCTTCGCCTATATTGGCAAGTATTTGTCTTTGAAATTAAGCTGGCTTCAATACCAATATGGCCTTGGAATGTCTCCCTTGGCTTTAAGTGCACTTTCAGATGGATACAGCATAGACTCATAGGGTTACAAGAGACCACAAGGGTCATCTAGTCTAACCCTCTACCAAGATGCAGTATTGGTTGGGTCTAAACCATCCAAGACAGATGTCTGTCAAGCCTCCTTTTGAAAACTTCCAGTGAGGGAAGTTTTCAAAAGGACTTCCCTAGGCAGTCCGTTCCATTGTCCTACTGTTCTTACAGTTAGGAAGTTTTCCCCAAGATTTCATCTAAATCTGCTATGTTGTAGTTTGAACCCGTTGCCTCTTGTCCTGCCCTTTGTGGCAAGAGAGAACAGTTTTCCTCCATCCTTTTTATCGCAGCATGTCAAGTATTTGCTGATATAGCTTGCATTCCATCCCTTTGATCATCTTTGTCGTTCACCTCTGGATCCTTTCCAGTTTCTCTACATACTTTCTATACATTGGTGACCAAAATTGGACACAGTACTCCAGCTAAGGCCTAACCAGCACCAAGTAGAACAATACTATCACCTCCCGTGACTTGCATGCTATGCCTCTGTTAATGCAACCCAAAATGGCATTTGCTTTTTTTGCAACAGCATTGTACTGTTGACTCATGTTGAGGTTGTGATCCACCACAACTCCCAGATCCTTCTCAGCAGTGCTGCTGCTACGCCAGTTATCCCCCCGTGCTGTATTTGTGCATTTGGTTTTTCTTCCATAAGTGTAGCACCTTACATTTGTCTTTGTTGAATTTCATTTTGTTGTCTATAGCCCAGTTCTCCAATTTATCAAGATCCATTTGAATTTTAGATATATCCTCCATAGTGTTTGCAGCCCCTCCACCCAACTTTGTGTCATCTGCAAATTTGATCAGTATGCTCTCTATTCCTACATCCAGGTCATTAATAAAGATGTTAAATAACACCAGACTCAGAACAGATCCCTGTGAAACCTCACTTGAGACCTCTTTTCAATCTGACATCATTCCATTAACAATTACTCTTTGTGGTTGTTCAACAAATTATGTATCCACTTAATGGTAGTTCTGCTGATCATTTCTCCAGCTTACTTCTAAGAATGTTATGTGGGAATGTGTCAAAAGCCTTGCTAAAGTCCAGGTATATTATGTCCACCACTTTCCCCCATCCACCAAACCAGTTACCCTATCAAAGAAGGAAATAACTGGTTTGGCATGATTTGTTCTTAGTAAATCTATGCTGGCTGCTAGTGATTACCCCTTCATCCTCCAGGTATTTGCATATTGCATGTTTTATACATTGCTCTAGTACAGTGGTTTTCAAACTTTTTAGACTGCGTACCCCTGTCCAAATAATGTAGTCTACCGCGTACCCCAATCTGAGATAGGGTCATAATATATCTATGATTAGATTGCCAAGTCTTATTAAATAAAATGTGTTGTCCATCATTATAGGATTTTTCTCACATACCCCCGATGAGAGCTTGCGTACCCCTCGGGGCATGTGTACCCCATAGTTCCCCAGCTCCTCCTTTTTCCATCTTCTCCCTGTCTAGGGTGACTATACATCCCGTTTTGGGTGGGACAGTCCCTTTTTTTAAGCCCAGTCCTGGCCGTCCCGACCTTTTTGGCAAAACTGGGCATTTGTCCTATTTGCTCTTGCCACCTGATCATCAGTTGGCAAGAGCAAACTGGACAAATGGACAAATTTGCCAAAAAAGTGGGGTGCAACCTCTAGCAGGGTGCAGAAAATCATTCAGGGGGAGCGAGCAGCAGCACCAGCCCCTCACGGGAGAGAGGGCTTGGAAGTGTGGCTCGGGCCAGGCCAGCCACAGGCAGGCAGTAGGGGGAGCTCGGACCTGGGCCGGACCCACACATGATGAGGAGAGGGGGACCTTGGGCCGGCCCTGCATGTGAAAGGGGTTGGGGGGAGAGGACCAGCCCCACATGGGTGGGTGGCAGGGGAGCCTTCGGCCAGCCCTGCGTGCTGGTGGGGAAGGGGGACTTTGGGCCGGTCCTGCACGCCGGAGGAAGAGGGGAGCCTCAGCCAGCCTCGTACACCGAAGGAAGAGGGGGACCTCGGGCTGGCCCTGCACGGGTGGGCAGCAGGGGAGCTTATGGCCGTCTCGGGGCACGGGAAGGTGGGCCTCAGGCCGGTCTGCATGCCAGGAGAGAAGGGGGCCCACAGGCTGGTCCTGTGTGCCAGAGGAGGTGGTGGTGGGGAGTGAGGCCTTGGGCTGGATCCATGCAGTGTTCCGTTTTCCCTTTGGGAAAATATGGTCACCCTATCCCAATCTTATCCTCCCATTCTGATTAGAAAATTTGCAAACATGCAGCTGTTTGGCCTAAAAATTATTCCTAGCTATGTGATGATTGGTTTTCTGCTAGCAGTGGCTGAACACATAAGATGACTGACTGCAGTACTGTGAAGTTCTGGGATAACACGCAGGAATGTCAAATTCTGGGGTAACATCTCCATGGGATCTTGCTTATTATTTCTCAGGGTTCGTTGAAATCTGCCTTTTTGATGTCCAGTGTCCTTGTTTTGCGATTCTCATGTCTTCCTTTCCTTAGGATCTTGAATTCTATCAGATCATGATCACTTTCTTCCAAGTTCCCGACCACCTTCACATTCACAACTAATTAATCCCTGTTGGTCAAAAACAGATCCAAAATGGATGACTCCCTACTTATTTCTTCAACTTTCTGAATCAGAAGGCTGTCCGCTACACATGCTAAGAACTTGCAGGACAAAGTATATTTTGCTGTGTTACCGTGGTTCTCTAACTTTGATATAGAGTCCACTAGTGGCTTCTGAATATTTCCAGATGATCCCATGGAGCTCTTGCCATCACAGTCTGTCCAAGCAGTGACCTTTCCTGCTAGTTTTGATCCAGTCCAGAAAAAACATCTTTGGTTTTTAGAATTTTTGGGGGGGAATAATTAAACTAAGAATAAAATAAAATCCCAAGCCTCTCTCCATCCTGCATCTGGATCGCCTGGTAACCAGGATGCAAATAAATAATTTTCATTTCAATATGTCTGTACATAAAGCTATACATCAAGGAACAAATAATGTTGGCCATACTTACAGGATGGGGGACTGTCTCCTGGGAATCAGTGACTCTGAAAAAGAGTTGGGGGTCATCGTCAATAAGGAGAGCTTCCAGTGCAACTCTGTGGCCAAAAGGGCTAATACAATTCCTAGATATATAAACAGGAGAATCTTGAGTAGGAGTAAGGAGGTTATTTTCTCTATATACTTGGCACTGGTGTGACCGTTGCTGGAATACTGTGTCCAGTTCTGGTGTTGCAATTCAAGAAGGATATTGCTAAATTAGAGAGGGTTCAGAGAATAGCCACAAGAATGATTAAAGGATTAGAAAACCTGCCTTGTAGTGATAGAGGCAAAGAGCTCAATTTTTTTCTTAACAAAGAGAAAGTTAAGGGGTGTCTTGATCACAGCCTAGACGTACCTACATGGGGAATTTGATCATGGGCTCTTCAGTCTAGCAGACAAAGGTATAACAAAATCCAATGGCTTGAAGTTGAAGCTAGACAAATTCAGATTTGAAATAAACACAGTTTTTTACAGTGAGGGTAATTAACCATTGCAACAACTTACAGAAAATTGTGGTGGAGCCTCCAGCGCTGCCATTTTAAAACCAAGAGTTCTAAAATTTCTGCTCCAGTTCCAACAGGAATTATTTTGGTGAAGTTCCAGACTAGATGCTCACAGTGGTCCCGTCTGGTGTTAGAATCTAGGAGTCCTGCATGGCTGCATCATATTTTAATTTGTTGGGTATTTCTTTGTTTTAAAATAATTAAATTTGACAACACAAGAAGATAAGAGGACAGACCCACACTACAGAGTAACCTGTGGTATTCAGAATAGCGAAGGCTGCAGGGAATGAGGGGTGATTTGGTACTGACAAATGTCTGGCGGGATTTTCAAAACAGAACAATGGGAGCTCCTGGGAGCTCTCTCCAGCTGCAGTGATTGGAAGTGCAGAGCACTTCTGAAAATCTGGCCCTTAAAGACCTTCACCCTTGGAAAGGAAATAAAAACAGCCCAGGGAGCAAATGGAGGACATAGCCATTAGCTGAAAGCAATTCTGCCCACATATTACTTTTGTGTATTTTTCCACCAAGCATTATTTATATTGCAGGAAGGGTGAGAAATTGGGAGGGTGCAGTAGGAAGTGTCCACAAGACAATCTTGAATTAATGAAGAGATCCCACAGTGTGCAAACATGTGAGAACCCCTGGGGTGCAGCATTCTTTTACACTTCCCAGCTTAGCCTCTTGTGTAAAGGTAGCTGGTGTTCAGTGTTAAACAGCTGCCATAGTTCACTCAAGAGGTGGCTGCATTTCAGTAGTGTGTATCTGCTTATTATCCTCTTCTTTCTTCTTCTGCACCAGGGAGAGCTGACAATGACAAGCGATATGGAGAACCTACAGAATGCCCTCTTCCTGGACACTGTGCCCGAGTCTTGGACTAGGAGGGCTTATCCTTCCATGGCTGGCCTGGCTGGCTGGTTTGCTGACCTGCTGAGCCGCATCAAGGAGCTTGAGACGTGGACAGGAGACTTTGTCTTGCCCTCTGTTGTGTGGCTAGCGGGATTCTTCAACCCTCAGTCTTTCCTGACAGCCATCATGCAGTCCATGGCCCGAAAGAACGAGTGGCCTTTGGATAAAATGACTCTGCAGTGCGATGTGACGAAGAGGAACCGCGAAGATTTGAGCAGCCCTCCTCGTGAGGGTGCCTACGTACATGGTTTATTCATGGAGGGTGCACGCTGGGATATGCAGGTAATCTTAGCAATTGCTTGATGAGGAGACGAGTCACTGCAGCTTATACACGGTTCGGGGTGTTTATGGTTACAACTGAAGCCCATGTTCTCATCTAAGGGTGTGTCTACACAGCAGGTAGGAGGTGCTTCTTCGCGCAGATGGACACGTGTTAACTCTGCTCAAGCTAGTGCACTAAAAATAGCAGTGTGGCCACAGCAACACAGGCTGGCCTCTCGAGTACAAACCCATCCCATCCCACTCCACCCCACCCCCTGGCTACATACCAGGCAACTGGCCTGCATTGCCGTGCAGAGCTAGCATGTGTCTGTCCAGCCTCCCTGGGAAGCAGCCTCCCAGCTGCTGTGTAGACGTGCGGTTGACCAGTATTTCTCTTGGCACTCGTACTATTGTTGCATAACTAGGGAACGTCTACACAGTACCTGAAGGGGGTGGGTGGTGATGCCCAGCTCAGGTAGACATATACATATTAGCTCTGCTCGAGCTAGCTGGGAATTACACCTCTCAGCTGCCATGTAGACATGCGCATAGAGACCACAGTCTCCTCATGACCATGACATCCCTGCACGTGTGGATATTGCAGGGTCTCTGCATGGCCATGGTATTGCTGCACACGTGACCTACACGTGTTACAAGGCAAACTGTTACTGTACTGGTGCTGATATGCTTGCTACAGTCTCCTCTCTCCAGGGGCTCCAGGACTTTTGGAGTAACTTGTACCAGTTTACCACACGAGGGGTCAAGTTCTGTCATGAGATACACATGCACTCCCCTTCCCAGAGAACATATCAGCACCTCAGCTTGTAAAAGCACAGAGCTAGGAGGATGAAGACAAGGGAGCTAAGATGTGAGTGGAGCTGGGGAGGGGGACTCAGGGCTCTTATCACCCCTCCCACAGAAGCTGCACTTTCAGTACTGTCACAGAGGCGGGAGTTGGAGGACCAAGCAGCCAAAATGCACCAGGGATGTAATACCCTAGAGTGGACCCTGCCCCAGATAAGCCTGTCAACTCAACAGAAAACAGTGGCTGGAGAGAAGCTCTAGTGCCCAATTTAGGAGCCCTGGGAGTAGCAGAAAGAAAATGGGATGGAACCAGCTTTCTCAGATCTGAGAGTCCCACGGATCCAAATGCAACTCCACATGTGGCCAGAACCCAGGATCCCAAGGACCTGCTGATGGTACCAATTTAGCTTGGACCAAAATGTCCATGGACTCCTCAGTCCAGGTGACAGAGCTAGTCTGAAAGCTGCATGGTGGATCCCACAAGAGAAGGGACTGGGTTTGGCTCCAAAGCTACATCAGTCTTCAGGCATACCCTTCACCAAAGAGCTTCAAGAGATTGAGCCTTTGTGCAGAGGGATCTGAAAGTGGTCCCAGTGCAGAGGAGCGACTGGCCTGACTAGGGTGGGGTATCAGGAGGCAGGACTGGAGGGCTGTATGCACACTCCCTACCCGCAGGAGCGCTCAGACATTGTTTGGTGACTACACAGCCAGTCACATTGCTCCTAAAATGTAGTGCATCGGAGCCAGAATCCTGAAGAACAATTGTCACTGACATTCCCATTGACAGTTGTCAGCCGCTGGGATTTCAGTCTGCAGAGTGAATGACGAATCCCCACCAAGACTGCTCCTGCAGGTTGCCATGTCTGTGGTAGCATAACTCACAATTTGTGCTGTATGCAGGAATTAAATGACAGTGATTCATGCAGCTCTTACTCTAGGCAGCCTGTGTTACACTTCTGCTGCCAGTGATCTGTGAGTGAGCTCTGATCAAAGTGGGTCACTTACTTAGCTATGCTGAGTTCTCCCCTCCACCCCCTGGCATGGGGAAGTTTTTCTTTCAGTAGCAGCTCTTGTCAAGGTTCATAGACTCAATCTTGAAGACCACCCCCCTGACGGGGCTTGGTACTAGGATTCCGTGTAGAGAGGCTGAAGTCTCAAATGCTGAATCTCATCCTGACCTTGCAATTCAAATCAAATGCATTCCGAAGAGTTTTAAGCTTTTAAGTTTTCTCTCTTTAAAATAGGTTATCACAGAGGATGGGAAATTAGGAAAGGCTCTAAATGTGATCACCATCGTTGGAACTAGAACATTTCAGAACTCCCACCCTGAAGCTGAGCGGTGGCTTTTTATCTATAGTCTTCCTTCCTTGAAGTGACTATAAGAGGACAGGGAAAGATAAGGCTCCAGGTCCCATTCCATCTCAGGGTGTGTAGCGATGTGCAGTGAGTTTGGAATGCTACAGACCCCAGGAACTCTGATAGTAACAGCAATACAAATGAACTGTGAGCAGGTGGACTTCCTGTCCTGTTCCAGATAAAGACTTCACACACTGCATAAGCTCAGACTTACCTCCTTGCTGGGTTTGGCCTTACTTGTAACTGAAATCTCAGTAACTGAACATACACCAACCTCAGCGCACTTCCTGAATCTGGCTGTTCCTAGGGTTTCCTGCATCCTCGCTTTCTCTGCCCCCCATTCTGTCTGACCAGAGATTCTCACTCACCTCCCTACTCATCTGGTGAAATTAACAAGATACACCTGCCACGATGAATCTGTGGAATATTCTCAGCAGCTGTGTGCAGGGTTCTAACCACTGCCAACAAGGTGGGTCCACAGAAAAGCCCTGACCCCTTTGTAGGGCATGAGATCCTGATGCTATTGTAAGCACCACTAGATCTCAAGTGCCTGCAAGAACTAACTTTTTCAACTAATGATATCAACCAGGAGGGATAAAACAGAATAATGGATCCTTGCTTGTAGAACAGCTCAGCTGGGAAGAATGTTCTAATCCTGCCTTATTGAAAACTTAGTGAAATGGCTGCTGGTAGTTTTGCAGGGTTAGATAACATGGTGCCCAAAATGCCTGAGTTCTGTCAGGGCTGCAGCCTGCACCTTTGCTACCACTGCTGGAGCTGCAGCAGTGATGGATCACAGCTGGGAAGTTTGCTAGTGCAGCCCCTGCAGTCATGTACGGATCATGCTGTGGTTCCAACTGCTCCTGCTAATTCTCACATCTAGGTAACTCTGTTCAGCTCTAGCGATGTGTTCCAAAGATGAGCTCATCTTTTACAAATGTATGTTTCCAGTCATTTTGTTTTCTGTAGTTGAAAAGCACTGAACACGAACATTGATAGAACCATTCACAATCTCAGAGCGTTGCACTTCCATGTTTTAAGAAAGGAAAAGAATATTTGAATATTTCATAGTTCACAGTGAACCATCAATCCCACATCTGACAGAGCTATTCATTTACCTGCATCCTAGTGGGGGCCAGTATAAATTAATGGATGAAGAATTAGTAGCACAGATGCACAGCCCATCTGGGCTATATATCCATTGCAAATTTATCCTCTGATAAGAATGACAACTGGTATTTAGAGTAAGTATTTTGAGGAGTTTCTCTGCTTTTAGAAAAGCTATTTCATGTTTAAGGTGATACCTCCAATTTTATGTCCAGAAGAAGAAGATAAAAACCTCCTCTATAGATTTTTACTGTATCTATTTGTATTCGCACCTGGGCACCTTCCATTTATAAATCAATCATTATAAATAACAGCCAGCTTTAAACTAAGCCAAACCCACCAGATTGTACGGGGGACAAAATTCCCTGCTGGTGTAGCTCCACTGAAGTCAGTAGAGTTTCTGCAGAGAATTTGGCTAATGGTGCCATGAAGCTGATTAGACGCATGCTTTGGAAGGCTGCTTTAAGAGTTTTGGTCTGCTCACTGCATGCCCTGCAACTACCCATAGAGAGCTTAATCCTAGGAGCCAACAGTGATGCCAGCCCAGGGGACTGTAATAATGATACCACGATGGGACAGAGGGGGAGAGGTGATCTTTCTGATAACTGGGCATTACTCCATTTGGTGCTTTGCAGAGCATATGTGACACACTGAATTGCCCTTGGAAGCAAATACGCGGCCACTGAAGAGTGCACTGAGCCATGGTGTTCCACGCTCATGGCCCCTTGTTGCCTTCACAAACAGACTGCTGCATTCTGCACCAGCTGATGCTGCCGTCGTAGTTCCGTGTAAAGCACACAGCAGTAAACCAGCTTGGGGGTTACAAAGGCTCCCTGTGGTGGGGTCCACCCTGAAGAGGAACAATCATAGCCTGCATTTAGCCTAGATGCTTCTAATAGTCAGCTTAGAGAGGAGTCATGGGGATGGTGAGGTGGCCCATGCACCTCCATAGTTCCTGACGAGCGCATGTTTACAATGGGGCACATCCCAAAGGCTAAGACCGATGCAAACAGCTTGGCCAAACTCTTCCTGACCTGTTTGAGGCCTGCACCTAGGCCCTAGCCAGACAAACGCTAGTCAAACAGGGCCAGCAGCATTCCCCTCCAGGCTCCTGTAATACAAGCAAGGTCTGGAATCGCATTCCCCAGTAAATCGTGGATGGTATATTCCTATGGGCAGCTGCCTGCACATTGAATCGCGTGAACTGAAGGCTTGTGTCTCTGCTAATCATGAGATACCTGGTCCACCAGATACCAGCAACCAGCAATGCTACTCTACTTCCATGGCCTCCATGCTAGCACCCACACTGGGTGCTCTCACTGCAGCTGATAGCCCAAAAAATCTCAGGGTGGATTCAGAGGGAATACTTGTCAACACCTGCTGGTACATGGGCTGTTATTTGTGGTTAATCTGATGTGGAGTTAATTTGGCAATCCCATTCTAGCCATCTCTGAACCCTACAATCAACCCAGGGCAAAACTCTGTCTCCCACATGGCCCACTTGGGTAGCACAAATCAAGCATCCATCCCACTGCTGGATTCCGCCTGTCGAACAGACACATGAGTACAAGGGCACAGCTGATTCTCGGGCAGGCGAGCAGAGCAGTGGCTTTTTTCCCCCTCTGTATCTTTTTCTTTTTTCTTTCTTTTTTTTGGCTCAGCCACTTGGGAGGGGTGGGAGTCACCAAAAATGTTTTCCATCCTGGCTGGCAAAGTGGCTAGGACTGCTCCTGGCCAAGGGACAGGTCTCTCCCCCCTGTACATCTCCTGCAGAACCCTAAACCAACAGGCGCTGATAACTTTCACCTGCCCCAACTTGAAATGGGGTTCTCCCCTGGCCTCTGCCTGCCCATGTCTCACCAACCCATGCACCCAGCATATCATCTCACTCCTCACACACACAACCTGTATAACCTGAGGTCAGAGGCAAGTCCAATTAAAAGGCAGCAAAACAGTGTGGATGGGGCTGTAAAGAAACCAAGAAAATTATATCAAGTCAATTATACCCCAACATGATGGCATGCAAATGGTGCTGTGTTAGTAGAACCTCTAGATACAGCCAGGAGAAAGGCGATTCATGCACTGGTCTAAAGATTTAATCCTATTGCTAATATCCCCTGGTTTGTAGCTTGCTTTGGGCTCCCATTCCCATGTAACGTGGCAATATAATTTGTCCACCATTCCAACTAACTTTTGAGAAGGCAGAACAGATCAAACTGCTGTTGGAGAAGAGTTCGCCATCAGGATCTGAGAGACTGGGTCTCTGGGGACATCCAGGGCTGCTATGTAACAAGCGCACCTTGCTAGCAGTTAGGGACAGTTGTTTTCAAAGCAGAATTCATTTCTGATCCTCAGGGAGATAAAAATGCAAATGAAAACCAGCCCGGAGATAGAACAAGGATAAGTGCCTTTGAGATATCTCAGAGAGATTGAAACCCTTGTCAACCTAGAAACGGATGGAATATTTCATGAAAATCTATTTCCATTATTGCCATCAATAAACTGCCTATCTGATCAGAAGCCAGTCACAAAAAATTAAAAGGATATGTTTAAAATAATACACAATAACAGCACTTGCCATGTAGCACCCTCGAGAGCAGATGCAAGGATTAGTGAGTGTTTGTACAGAGCATTGAAAATATGAAGTCCTATATAAGAGTCCTGTATTATCATTACTATCTTATTATAACAAATGGTATTGTTAAAATTAAATTAAGATAGCAAGGTATGTGCAAGAGTGATTACTTTACTTTGCTTATTGCTAGGACTGAATAAATCACTAGATAGGTTCAGTCTCACCACACAACTCTGGTTTGGGGACATTTGAAATAAAATCATCTGTGAAGCTAATCTTCAGGGAGAGGCAGTCCCTGTAGCACAGTGAGGTACGAATTCCTACTCCATATTTGTTTGTATTTCCCTCTCTCTGGCCTGCATTAGGCAGTTTATACAAGCTGTTCCCAGAAGGGGACTCATAGGTAAATCATTTTACAGTTGGAAGAAGGGACAGTAGTTGCCTGAGAGACCAGAGTGGGGGAAGCAAACCAGCCAGTTTGACGTAATCCCCACATACTGGCTTCCTCTGCTGGGTCATGGCAACCTGATGCAGAGCTGTGCTGTGCAGAGGACACCGGAGACTCACTCACTACAGACAATTCTCCGTCAGAATGGCCCATGCATATCCCCGGTTTTCACATTAGCATCCCTGGTAGTAGGAGCTCAGGCTCTTCTAGCAGGCAGGGCCCTCGAGGCCACTCAACTAATCCCCATGCAGGGTTCAGAATGAGCCTCCCGAAGCCCCTTCTCATCGCCAAGGGCACAGCGAGCTCACAGGGCCCTTGGTGCTCCCTTCTTGGGTCTGTTCTCTGCCCCTTTGGGTGCTGTGCTTTGTATACAGCTAATCAGCCAGGGTTTATATTAAAAACCAAACAGCAGCAGCCTGCTCAGCTGTGGGTCCCTATGGACATTGGCTGAGAGCCAATAAATAAGCTGCTTCCTCCCCCACCCATTTCTGGGAGGCGCCATCATTTCACACTGGTCAAATACAAGTTTATTAGGACATGTTTAACACTGGGCCAGATTTTGCCCTGAAAATACCCAGTGCAATCCCAGTGGGTTTCACAGGGTGAAAGTCACTGCAATTGGACACACTGTGTTTTCTAGTTTAGTGTATCAGAGCCCTGTCGATCCCATTGTCATGGGAGTTTGCTCATGTTGGTGCATAAATCCTGTGTCTGAGATTAGGTGTGCATCCAGCCAGAGGAGAGGGGTGTAGGTGATGGGGGGAAGGACTGATTTCCTCACTCTCCCAGGCCAGGGGCATTGCTGGACACAGCCCTGCAGGATGGGGTCGTGTTCTCCAGGATGTGACTGGAGTGTTGCCATTTTTCGTTCGTAGTGCATTTCAAGAGCAATAGCCAATAAAAGCCCATTGGTTACAACCTTACAGCCTGATTCTGAAGCCACTCTTAGTCTTTGCTCCAGCAAAGAGCCCAGCGAGGTCAAAGATTGAAAAACCACTGCATGGGGACTTCAGGATTCGTCCCCCAATCTTAGAGTCAGAATCCTGATCCGGGGGGGGGGGGGGGGGGTTTGGGGACCCTGTGATGTAAGAACAGCTAGAGTCAGGATATAACTGCACCTTTTCCCTTTGAAAAAGCTACATTAGAGCGAGGCAGCTGACGAAAGTGGCCGGATACGTGATCTTGGCACCTCCATGCATATTTTAACACCTAACGGAAGATGTTTTCACCTGACCGAAGTCACACGTTTACTTTGCACTGAAACATTCATGCCTGTCACATCTCAAACTGACACTGGGCATCATTCCTGAGGTCTTTTCTAGTCAGACCAAACCTAGTATTTGAGATGCTCAATGTACAGCCATGCAAATTGGATCATCTCTTCCCTCTGGGCCTGGCAGGAGGGGGCGTCTGCACAGAACAGTGCTGTGTGTCCTCAGGAGTCCAAGTGGAGCAGGGATCTAATCTGGGGAAAGTGATTGGTGCAGGAGTGAGGGAGGGTGAGATGTCAGATGTCCAGAGGTTAGAACTGTCTGATATTTTACTTTGATATAATATAGTCTTCATTGGACCAGGACACAAGAAGCAGAAGTTGTAAAAGGGCACAGACAGGAAGTAATACATGGCAGGAAACAGGCTGTGGAAGGAGCGGGAGGCAGTAAATGATCATGCATATTGGGGACCCAGTTGGTGGTAAGTCTTGGCATTCTTCAAAAGTAGCATTTAAAACCTTTTCTTCTTTCCTCTGCAGACAGGGATGATGATGGATGCCAGGCTGAAGGATCTAACTCCAGCCATGCCCGTTATTTTCATCAAGGCCATTCCTGCTGACAAACAGGACACTCGCAGTGTGTACCCATGTCCCGTGTACAAAACACGTCAGAGAGGGCCAACCTATGTGTGGACTTTTAACCTGAAAACTAAAGAAAACCCTTCCAAGTGGGTCCTAGCTGGGGTTGCACTGCTTCTGCAAATTTAGGTTCTGATTGACACAGAGTTTCACCAACAGAGAATGTCTCAATGGGAGCTTTGAACCATTTCACATTCAAGCAATTTCTAAAATAATATGCGTAGAGGAAAAAAAAGCCTTTGTCTTCTTAACTCTTGGAGTGCGGGCATTTAGCAAGCTTGGCAAATGAATTCTTAAGAGGATGTAGCATGCAGTAGCAGATGCATATATGGGAGAGGCAGTGTGGCCTAGTGGCTAGAATATCAGTGTAGGCCTCAGAAGGCCTAGGTTCTATTCCCAGCTGAGTTACTGGATGACCATAGGCAAATCACTTTATCCTTCCATGCCTCAGTTTCCCCATCTGTAAAAAGGGGATATAATACTGACCGCCTTTGTAAAGTGCTTTGGAATCTACTGATGAAAAGTGCTGCATAAGAGCTAGGTATTTTTATATATGTGACTGGACACTGTGGCCAGAGCCTCAGCTTCTATAAATCAGGGGATTTCCATTCAGTGGAGCTACGTGGATTTAAACCAGCTGAAGGAATGGCCCCATATCTATCACATCCAGAGGATTAAAGGGCTGTTAGGCTCAAATTTGACCTAATCTATATTTTTCTCTGTGTAGGTTCTGATCCAAAGCCAGTTGAAGTCCGAGGGAGTCTTTCCATTGACTTTGATGGGCTTTGGATCTGGCTAAATTGAATAAGCTTTGTAATTCTTTAGTCTCTGCCTTTTTTTTTTTAATCCAACCCAATGTTTCAGTGAAGTGTGAAGAAAAATTCTGAAAGCCAGGGAGCACAGTACTCGTTAGGGGAATAAATGATTGTAACTGATGTAGGATTCCTCACTGATATCCCTTTAGACTCTAGGAACACTGGAAGGAGAGAGAACGCCGCCAGGCTATTAATGAATGAGGGAGATGCAGTAAAGCAAACCATTTCAGAAGGGTGAACATTTCCTAATAAAATCTTTATTCTTGGACTTGCCTCTAGAACTCCCATTTTGTTTCTTTTGGTCTGAAATATCAACATTATCCCACTGCGCAGGGAGTATGAATCGTGTGTATGACATGAGAGACCAGGGAAAGTATGCAGGTAGTTGCAGTTTAGAAATATCTCATGATCACTACTGCAAGGGCTAGATTCACAAAAGGGACTTAGGCACCTTACTGCCACTTTAGGAGCCCAAATCCCAGAAGCTCTGCCTCAGCTACCCTAAACCCTGTAGGCACCTAAACTTGCTTAGCACCTAATTTTTGCAGCAAATGGTTCTGCCTGTGCACGTGCGCACTGCAGCCCCAAGCCAGGCGGCCAGAGCCCCAGAGCGAGTCAGGAACTGGGGGAAGATAGGCGCTCCTCCACCTAACTGATCTGGAACGTGAGCTTAGAGCACACCTGCTGGACTGGGCCCCTATAGGCAAGCTTACACAAAAGAGCCAACCAGGTGCTCCCTCATAACGTTTAGCCCATTGATCAGGGCACTCACCTGGGGAGCCCCAGAGGGGCTAAGTGATTTGCCAGCTTTCAGGGGCATGTCCTAACCACTGGGCTATGGGATAGTCAGATGTGGGGCTCCCTTGACCTGCTGTAGATTAATAATGAAAGAGAAAGAGCATAAACATGAGCCTGACTCTAGCCTGGGGGTTAGCACACTCAGCGGGGAGACCCAGGAGCCAGTCCTCCTGCTCCAATGCCTTTTTAAAATTATTTATCCAGCGTGCAACTGATTCAACAGGAGAGACTGGGAGATTCCCCATCAGACTAGCCCAGAGCCCAGGGGCTAGCATACTCACCGGAGAGGTACCAGATCCATAGTCAAACCCTTTCTCTCCTGCAGCTGCTGAGGGGACTTGACCTGAGGGTCCCTGAGAAGCTGTAAAGAAGGGCCGCCACTGCCTGTGAAGCAAATGATGTAGGCACCTACTCCCATGGGCAGGCTCACAGCTGAGGGAGGTGCCTCCCTGTGGCCCAGACATAGGCACCAAACTCTGTGAAAAGGGAAGGGTGGGGCTCAGCGCACTCCCCTGGGCTTGGCACCTCCCAGAGGATCGCTGAGGTGCGGAAAGGTCTAGGGCACTGGCTTTTGTGAATTGCAGTCTAGGTACCGGTCTGTCCCTGTGCACTGTACCGGGAGCCGGAGCGCTGCCTAACCCAGGCTTTGTGAATCCCAGGGATTTCTAGGTGCCTAAAAGTTAGAGATGGCGACACCGAGTGCCACCGCACCTACATTTCTTTGTGAGTGTAGCCTGAAGCTGTTAGAATCGGTGTAATCCTGTGCAGCAAACCCAATGACCATGCTGACTATGTGTTAGATCACACGTAAAACTAGACTGGTGTTTAGGTTGTAAAGTCAAGCACAAAGTCAGAAAATGCCAGAATTACGGGTTCCCAGGCAACCTTACCTCTGCCCCCGTCTGCTTACACCAGTCTTTAGTCACATGATCAGACACTTTCCCCCTCAGGCAACCTGCCTAATTCCACTGCTTAGTATTTTTTTTTATCATTCAGCGTGTGGCTTCATGCCGTCTTTTCTGCCACTATTCAAACCCTGCACGGACTGCTGAACTGTCTTATGGGCATTTCTGGGCATGCTTCATCACAGCTCGAGTATCTTGCAACCCTTCATGACTTTGGCCTGGATGCACAAAAGAAGGTAGGTGCCTATGTCCCTGCTTTAGGTGCCTAAAGGCCCAGTTTGGGGATCAGTGTGATGCATAAAACTCCCACTGAATCTTGGCGGAACCTAAACTCACTTGGCCCCTAAGATTTTTGCAGCAAAAGTTCCCTCCGCACCTATGTTTCTGCCTCAGGGCGTGTGCAGTGCAGTCGTCCTGGGGCTTATCTCCCACCTGAGCCACAGAGCAGGTCTCAAACTGAGGTAAGCCAGGTATTCAGCCCTGTTGCGTGCAGGGCCTGGTCTGTTGGGTGTGCTCAGAGACTGCCTGACACGGTGGGCCCCTCAGGAAACATCACACAAATCACAGCGACAACTTCCCTCATAATGCTTAGCCCAGTGGTGAGGGTCCTCACCAGCGATCACATGGGAGAAGGGATTTGAACAAGGAACTGACACCCCTCACAGAAGTGCTCAAAGCATCAGACTCTGGGCTATTCTTCTGTGGGGCTCCCTTAGTCTCACCGGTTGAAGCTGTTGCCCTCTGGATAAATAATGAAAGAACTAGTGGAGCAGGGGGCCTGGATCCTAGGGCTCCAGGCCGTGGCCTTGCAATGGTTCAGAGAAAGGTCAGGCCATGCAAAAGTTAAGGAACGCCTGGTTGAAAAGGGACCCTGGTGGCTCCAGACAGTGCAGCTGACCGGACACTAAACTTCCGGTTGTCGGGGCTAAAGCAGGCTCCCCACGCAGCTCCCAGAAGCGGCAGCATGTCTGGCTCCTAGGCGCAGGGGAAGCCATGGGGGCTCCATGCGCTGCCCCATCCCGAGCACTGGCTCCACAGCTCCCATTGGCAGGGAACAGCGGCAAATGGGAGCTGCGGGGGTGGCACCTACAGGCAGGGGCAGCATGCGGATCCCCCTGGTCCCTCCGCTTAGGAGCCAGAGGGACATGCCGTCCGCTTCCGAGAACTGCCTGAGGTAAGCGCCACCTGGAGCCCACACCCCAAACCCTCTCCTGCACCTCAACCCCCTGCCTCAGGTCAGAATCCCCTCCTGAACCCTAAGTCCCTTCCAGACCTTGCAACCCAATGCCCTGCCCCAGCCCTGAGCCCCCTCCCACACCCCAAACACCTGCCCCAGTCCTGAGCCCCATCCCACACCCAAACTCCCTCCCAGAGCCTGCACCCCACACTCCCTCCCACACTCTGAACCCCTTGGCCCCAGCCCGGAGCTCCCTCCTTCACCCAAATCCCTCATCCTTGGTCCCACCCCAGAGTCTTCACCCCCTCCTGCACCCCAAACCCCCTCCCACACCCCAACCCCCAGCCCAGTGAAAGTGAGGGAGGGTGTGGGAGAGTGAGCGACGGAGGGACAGGGGCGGGGCCTCGGAGCAGGGGCGGGGCAAGAATGTTTGGTTTTGTGCGATTAGAAAGTTGGCAACCCTACCGCCAGCCTGTGGCAACCCTACCACCAGCATGCTCATGGGGGTGAGCTCTGTCTGTCTCTCACTTTCTTAAAGAGTCATTTGGGCCAGAGAAAGCAAGTGCAAAGACACAAGAATGCCCCGGTAGTGTAGGGGTTAGAGCCTAGTGGTGTAGCTATAAAAGCCTTAACTTTTGCCTGGCCTGACATCTCTCTTTAATACTGCAAGGCCAAAGATCTGTACGTTCACTTTACTGGAACTCTGGACCATGTTATAGAGGCTGGGTGTGTATAAATGCTGGGCCCATTGTATTGCATTGATTTTAAATCCTTTCTTCAGCGGACTAGCCCCTCTTTCTGCTCAGTGCTGCCCTCTGAGATGCCCACTTATCTGCAGGAAAGGGAAAAGTTCATTAAATTCCCCAAGCACCGATTGCTCTTTCCAGAATAAATCGCCTGTTCTGTTCTCCTGCCATCTGAAGAAGAATGGGATGCCGACACCAAAACGGCTCCAATTGTTTTATTATGGATAAAGCTCTTCCTGCATAATTCACCAGTTGGGCTAGCTGGGTGTTTGGGAGATATTTATAGACACTAGAAATGTCACCCGGGCGCTCATCTCTCATCCTTTTGAAAATCATCGCAGCTAGGATTCGGATGGGAAATGTTACAAGAAACTCGAGAGCAAATCATTTGGTGCTTTAGGAGAAAAAAGAACTGTGTGTTTTCCTAACTGTGTGGGTTTAAAATAGGTAATTAAATGCAGCTGGCCAGGCTATTCACTAGGAGCAATGCATTAGTCTAAGGTGGGCATCTGCGGTGCATGAACTGTGCATGGCTCTTTAAGGCAATTGCTTGCATGGAGCTATCCTGCTCACTCCTTCCCCGCTCTGTGGAGCCTTATGGGAGTGGAAAGAACTGAGTGGTGGCTAGGGCCCTGCCCCCAGGTACATCAGGGAAGGCTGAGGTTCAAGCCCTGACTGGGGTAAAGAG